TTCAAATTTTAATACATTGTATTAAAGAATAATACATTTTTAATACATTGTTATTAATACATTGTGTAGAAAAATTAAGGTTGAATGGCCTTATTGGCTGAAGTTATCCTAGAGGACCATTTTAGCTATTTTCATATCATTTTTATTTTATTTATTAATCAAATATATTTTAAATATAATTTTTTCATAAATCATCATAATCAGTCGTAGCTAGAACTTCATAAATTTCAGCAGAATTAGCCAATTTAATTAGCTAATTTTAATGTTACCAAACACGTTCTTAAACTGTAAAGAATTTTAAATATTTGTGTTTCGGAATGCATATAGTGAAAAATTAGACACTTTTAAGTGTTCTGATGCTTTGGATTGCAAGCACGTCGGAGGAGATAGCGTTGACGGATCAACGAGGTTGTATCAAGGCTGGATCGTGAAGCCTTGGCCGGTCATTCCAACGGTGGTGGAATTGGTATTCACATTGCAAGAGCTCGTCCTCCTCCGAAATCACCTCCATACCAGGAATAACTTTGTGTAAAATTTTTATTTCAGTATTGTTTTCTCTTTAGTAGCAATTGTTTCTATTTTAGCCCGAGTAGATTTGGCTTGAATGTTTGGATTTTTGGAGTTCTTTTGATAGGCAGAGTTTCGATTCCGGGCATTTTAGTCCTAAATTTGTCCGTTTCAGGTTTAGCGAATCATGTTGCTTTGTATGAGGTGGTTGACTCTATGTTACTCCTATGATTCGCTATTGAATCTGTAAATTCTGTCTGAAGAGTTGTCTTGTATGTGTTCTCGATTTTAATATAACGGTCGTTCTTTTATGATAAAAATGAAAAATTAGACACTAATCAGGTATCCGATAAACGTGTGGGGAGTACTATATATGAAATGGCTATTTAGAATACTGTGAGAGAAATGGATATTTATGCATGATCATATTGGTTTTCGATTCGACTTTTATCAGTTTCAACTCGGTTTGGCTCGATAAGATTGGAACAGATTCAAAGAATTATTGTCAAACAAAAATTATACTAGTACGTATTTTTTATTTAGATCGGTTCAGTTCGATTTGGATTTGTTATTTTTTAAAAATAATCACAGGTGAAGGTTTTATCGCATTTCTTTATTTCGATTCAATTTATTCGTTTGTTCTCAATCAATTTGATAATATTATCAAATTCTTTATTTCAGTTTGATTCAAATTGATTTGATATGCCTCGCCCCTGCTAAAAACAATCAATAAACCAAACCCATCACCTTCAAAAACCGCCAATTCTTCGATTTAGGAGGTAGTCTTCTGGTTTGCAATTCTATCGTACTCCGTATGTGGCTATTACTAATTCACTGAGACATTTTAAATTTTTAATAGTGCGTAGTTGTCTTCCATGAATTCCATCATATCATTTCAATTTTTTTTTATTACGGAGTATTTATTTCTTCTAATCTTCTCCCCTTAAAGTTTTCTTCCTCGACAATAAGAATTGAACCAGCTATCCCTGCATCTTCATCCTTTAACGAATCTTTAATTTCTCTACCTTTTCATCCAAAGTTTCCCCGCTTTTTTCTTTTCTTCCACAATTTTCATGGCTATCCATGTGATACTCTTATTCTGTTGTATTTTAGATTTTTTATATTCGTTTCTAATAACGGAGTGTTTGGGTGAAATACAGAATGATCCAAATCATTCTGAAAAGTAATTTTTTTAAAAGTTGGGAGACCAACTTCTGAAAAATTGATTCTGAATCATACCAGAATCAGTTCCAAACAACCCCAAGTAATCTGTAATGCAAACAAAATTGAACAAGGCTAGCTAGAGAGGAAGATGGGAATATTAACAATGGGAATCGTCAGAGGTGATATCACCGAGGCCGGAGGGTGAGACGTGAGGAAGAAGTTGGGAAGTAGTCGTCCCCCGGACTTCTTCCTTGAGAACCATGCTACGAAATAAAAGCAAAAAGAAAAAGGAAAAGAAAAACAATGGGGGAGGAGGCTTCTAAGTTCTAATGACCCTTCTACGGGATGAAAATTATGTTGCGGAAGGATAAAGAAAAAGAATAGGGAAAATGTGTCACAATCATTTTAATAGAAAAATCAGTCATTCACCGGCTAAATTGCATTTCAAACGTTCTCTATATAAGGTTGTATGTTTGATTAAGTGATAATTTAGCATGAGGCTTCGATTGATTTTTTACTAGTAACAGGTGAACTATTTGATAGCTTTATCTACAATATTCAATTTTGATGTCCCATTTAGTTTAGTATTTCATATTTATTATTAACTCTTGAAAAAGGCGGGATTGACACGGAATTTGGCACGGGCTTATCAATTTTTCGTGCCAAATAGCTCGTGCCAAAGTGTTTTTGGCACGGATTTGGCGTATCCCGCCAAAATCCGTGCCATATCCGTGCCAAAATCTCTGCCAATCCCTTGTTTTTTTGTAGTAATTACGTAGTTAAATTGACCGCACAATGAAATTGTTACTCCGTTACAAAAATGTTTTATGACATATTAACATAAATAAATGTTTAAATTTTGTTTCTTATTTTGTTATACTTCTAATCTATTAGAATACCCTTTTTACGGTGTATATGTCAACATTTTTTATTGTGATTAGACTCGAACATTTGATATTCTCCTTTGAGAATGTCACAGCCTCACCGGGATACCATGAGATGATCGTGCAAAACGTATTCTGAATCCTGAAAATGAGTTTTAGAACTCAATAATATCCTTCCAATTCAATGAGAAATAAAATGTTTGAGACAGAAACAAACTACAACATTATATTATCAAGTTAAATACTACACTTTTTCAGAGACAACTATGTAATGTTTTTAAATTTCTGAGTGGTTCGTTCACATTCTTTATTTTCTTTTAAATTGAAGTTCGAGGATGAGTGTTTCAACTCGATAAGATCTTTTCAACGAGTTATTAAAAAAATTGAAACGGAAAAAAAGGAAGATATATATGACCAACTCAAATACTACACGATCTGAGAGATGAGAGTAAAGTCCACAATATTTATCCTTAAATACAATGTACTTCGTATTAAGGATGTTTTTACTTGGACTATAATTTGTTGGTCTGGTCTGGTATGAACTGATTTGGTCTGGTTTGGTAAGGTCTGGTTTCTTTGTATTTTTATAACTATCCAAGTCTAGTCTGGTCTGGTCTGGTCTGAACTGGTCCGGTCTGGTCTGGACTGGTCTGGTCTGGGACAAATTACAGTCCAAGTAAAAACATCCTAAATAGTAAAGGCGTAGTAACTAGTAATACGCATGAGCAAGAGCCTTTGCAATTGCTGATCCCTTGATATTTGTGATTTGTGAAGAACAAATACAAGTACTCATTTTCCATTCTGTGTCCGACTAAGAGACAATATTTTTATATGTTACTACGTATAATAGATACTTCATTTTCTTTTCATTTTTTGGTAAGACCATAGGTGCATAAATGCCGATGTTTCATTCACAACCAACCGAGCTGTGAAACCCCTAACAAATCATACAAAAATGTGTAGCGATAAAGTAGGTTCATCAATACATAGATTGAACACCAAAAGGTAAATTATGGTCTAGGCCAGCCAAGAAATCGGCAACTCGATTGCCCTCCCGATATATATGCTCAAGTGCTCAACTTTAATCATCCTGTCTCGATCTAACATCTCACGAAAACTGACGACATGAGAAAAGTGTTGGTGTGTGATCTCGCCATCATTGTATGTTCTCATTCACCCACAAATGCAAGTTACGGGCTTATACTACTGCTAAGTACCGTTCATTTTTATGGCATTAGAAAACCTAACAAATGATTATTTTTCTTGTTTGTAATTAGTTTTTACTTGCTGTGAAATAATGTTAACAACAGGGGTCGGGCATAGGATGAATATTAACAACAGGGGTCGGGCTAGGCGAGGTACTGATAGATATAGGCGAACTGTCCACCGAGGTGGTCTGTGAACTGCTTTCGGCAAAGCAGTCGCTGGAGGCCTGGGAATGTGAGATCGGGGAGTCAGGGGAGGTAGTAGCAATCGGCGTAGCAGGTAGAGTGTAGGTGGGGGGAGAAATATTCGGTGAGGGTGTGGATACAGGACTAGAAGGCGGAGTATGAGGTGCCGGGCTGGTGGTAGAAGATGTGGTGATGGGTACCAAACTGGTCGGAGGCACCGGTTGCAAAACCAAGGATGGAAGCCGTGGACTGGGAAGTGGCCAGGAAGCAGGCATGGTGGTGGGCTGGTTAGAGGAACGGGAAATAAGATGAGGATAAGGAAAGTTGTGCTCATGAAACTGGACATCCCGGCTAATATAGACTCTACCCGTTAAAGGGTCTAAACAACGATAACCCTTATACCCCGGAGCATACCCGATAAAAACACAACAAATGGAACGAGGTGAGAGTTTATTTGAAGACTTGGCAACAAAGTTTGGAAAACAAGCACACCCAAAAACTCGTAGAAAATTAAAATCAGGAACCTTATTAAAAATCTTCTCGAAAGGAGTGACATTTTTCAAAAGTGGAGTAGGGAGGCGATTGACAATATAAGTGGCAGTATAAAGAGCATCAACCCAAAACGTAGGCGGGAGAGAAGAGTCAATTAACATAGTCCTAGTTAATTCAAGTAAATGACGATGTTTGCGTTCTGCCACACCATTCTGAGCAGGAGTATCAGGGCAAGACTTTTTAAATAAAATGCCAGTCTTTAAAAAATGATTTTGAAAAATAATATTGTCAAATTCGCCTCCGCCATCACTCTGAAAAGATTTAATTTTCTTATTCAAGAGATTTTCAATAAGATTCTGAAAATTACAAAAGTGGGAAAAGACCTCAGATTTACGACGCATTGGATAGATCCACGTATATCGAGAAAAATCATCAATAAAAGAAACATAATATTTAAAACCAAGATTAGATAAAATAGGTGACTGCCAAACATCGGAGTGAATAAGCTCTAACGGAGCAGTACAAGAATGAATCACAGCCTGAAAAGGTAGTCTGTGGGATTTACCCAACTTACAAGACACACAATCATGAGAAAAATTACTAGAAGCAGAAATAAAATGTTTTTGCCGAAGCATATTTAAAACTCTATCACCACAATGCCCCAATCGTTTGTGCCAGGTCGGTCCAGGGAGAAGAGTAGTCTGAAGAGCATGAAACGGGTAAAGATGGTCTTTATTGGAAGCCTGAAGAAGATGCACCCCCGTCCGATTGTCCTTAATAAAAAAGGAATTTTTATTAAAAATCACCGTACAATCATTATCCGCACATAATTTATGAATAGACAACAAATTATATTTAAGATGTGGGACATGATAAACGGAGTTTAAAGCTAGAGGGCGGCCAGATGTATTTATATGAACGTTACCAACATGAGAAATAGGTAATTTTGTACCATTTGCAACTAGCACATTATTAGAGCCAGTGTAAGGAGATTTACAAGATAAAATACCTTCATGAGGAGTCATGTGAGCACTGGCACCTGAGTCAGGATACCACAGAGCAGCATTCGTCTCACCCGAGGGAATAGCAGCAAGAGCAGGCGTGGACTGACCAGTGAAGCGAGAACAATTCAGAGCAGAGTGACCTGGCGAGAAACAAATTTGGCAAACAACTGGATGTGGAGCATGGGAAAAACTATTGTCCACAGATGGAAAACCTGCACCAACACTATGAGTATCGCTAGAAGATAAATGATTAAAGTATGAATAACCAGACGAAAAATTACTTAAAAGTGCACCTGAATTTCCAGACTGAACCGGTCCACGTGGAGGAGCATATTGTGGCTGACCATAGGGCTGTTGACCATGAACGGGGGCGTGCACTGGAGGCTGAAAATTATGCCCGAAGGGAGGAGGGTACTGACCGTACTGATTTTGCTGAAACTGACCTCCATATCCACGGCCTCGGCCCCTCTGTCCGCGGCCACGGCCCCCGCGCTGACCACGAGCTCCCTGCTGCCGGCCGCCCTGACCACGAGCACCCCCTCGATCCGCAGGTCCACCGCGAGCAACAAAAGCCTGATGGGCCGGTGGTAGCTCCTGGGAACGAAGGTAATGTACTCGCTGTTCTTGTGCAAGCAAAATAGGACGTAGATTCTCTATGGTGGCACCTCCGGGAAAGTATGAAACAGCCGTGATTAAAGATTCATACTCGGGACCAAGCCCCGAAATAGTGTATTCAATCAAATCTTTATTACTAACCGGAGAGTTAATCAAATTCAAATTATCCGCCATAACCTTTATCTCTAAAAGATATTGTTCCATTGTTTGAGTCTCTTTCTTTTTAATATGTGAAAGAAGCCTTTTTAGCTCCATGGAACGAGCCAAACATGCGGACATGAACCGCGTCCGAAGACACTCCCAAACACGAGCAGAAACTGTGAGGTCATGGACCTCCATGAGTATGTCTCGGGACAAGGTAGCAAAAATCCATGAACGAATGGTTTGGTCAATTTTAACCCAATGATGATACTCCGGATTAGGAATTTCTCGTCCAAAATTATCATGAATAAAGGATGGCGGAGCCAATACGGATCCATCTAGAATTCCAAAAAGATTATGGGAAACTAGAAAAGATTCGAATTGAGTACGCCAAGGAAGAAAATCCTCAACGGCAGTCAAGCGGGTGGTAACAATATTAGTTACATTGGGTGTAGAAAACGCTAAATGTGAAGCCAAAGAAGCCAATAGAGTCGGATTATTAGCCGAACCTGACTGCGAAGCAATTGGTGGTGGCGGTAAAGATAACCCGCCCAGGTGGCCGGAAAAACCCGAAGAGCCCGCAGCATGAGGTGTGGAAAAGGAGACAGCCGCAGATGACGTGAATTGCGCAGCCGAGTGCGGTGCTGCATAGTTGGTAGAGGTGGGATTCCAACTGAACGGTTCTGGCATATTAAACAGACGATACGATCCCAACGGTGGGGGACCGTTAAAGCCATGCTGACGAGAAATTGAAGAAGACGCTGGAGAAGAGACCGGAGTTAATGAAGGCTGCACCGGAGATGAGATGGGCGCCATGGTTGTCATGTTGGAAGCCGAAGATGTAGCAGGCACGTCGGAGGCTGCTTCTGCTATACTGGAAGAAGACGCCATGATGGAGGCGCAGAGAAGGCTACGTGCGGCTAGGGTAACGAAAGGAGAAAGGCAAACCTAGGCATCTGATACCATATGAAAATAATAATTGGGAAATAATGGCATACCCTCTTAGGGTGCCTTCACGTGTATATATAATAAATCAATAATAGAAAAATTACAAAAGTGTCCTCTACTATACGTTATTAAATAAGACTTCGAATGGCAGTGGGAGTAGAACTATTATATGTCCACCTAATACTTAATGAACTGTTTGAGATCTCAGCTTGAACACAAATTCGAGTTTAATGAACCAAATCTGAATCCGAAGCTAAATTACACGGAGTATTCATTCAAACCAAGTTTAACCATCATATTCATGATTCCGGTGGTTTTCGAACTTATCATTCACCATTCATTATCGAAGATTTCAAGTTAATTCTATACCCCCCCCCCCCCGACCCCCATCCCGATCTGACCATTATTATTAGTTTATTACTATTAATGCTCCCAATATACTTTAATATCTATTTTTTCATATTAACTTTAATTATATTGATTCTTCAATATCTGATTTTTTCAATTACTATATTTGTTAAAAACAAAATTATTTTTACGGAAACTGGAACCTAAATGAAAGAAGGGAGAATTCTACAAATAAGACTTAAACACATCTAGTTTCCAAAATTAGGAGTAGAAATTTACGTAGGACATAAGTGGATATGTTTTGACTATTATACCCCTAAATTAAAAATCAATTGCTTGGCTTGGGAAAAATTGCACCGATGAAATCTTCTTCACAAAGGACTTGACGGAGCTGAGAGCCGCATCGACAAGCTTCCAGATCCTTCGATCTTCCCAATCGATCTGCTCCAACTGGTCCTTCCCTTGGCAGCGGCAACGAGGAGTCCATAAGCAGCCTCGCGAATAGTATGGAAGTCGACCACCGCAGATGGAGTATCATTTCTTCGACAGATTTGGCAGAGAGCATCCACAAGTTTCAGTGAGTAGATTCGTTGGGCAGCCTGTTTCTTCCACCTCAGTCCATTCACAGTTCATTATTCCCTTTAGGATTACTTTTTCCCCTATCACATAAGACAATTTGTAGGATTTAAGGGTTTCTTTCATTTTTTTCTCATCATCTCATGCACAGGTACAATACAAATGATTACATGAACATAAAGGTCTATACATCTCCTTTGAAGATAAGATAAATGTATGAATATGATCAATAAGCTGTTGTGTTTAATCAGTAGAGACTGATCCAGAAAACAGAGGGTTCTCATTAATGTCTACTTATGGGCATTAACCAGTCCGTAATAAGACAATAATTTAGAAAGAATCAGTTTTGTATCGATGTGGCTCATATTTGTCCACAACAAGATGATGGGTATGTTGGATGTATTTTGATATTCTTTACATAACTTGATACATTAAAAATGCTTACCTGTAAGTTTAAACACTTGCAGGGACAACTGTTGTATGATTGTCATCAAATTTGTTGAAGCTTTTCTGTTGGATAAAGATTTGAGTGAAGAGTTTTGAATGAAGACGTTGATAGCTACCATTAAAAATGAAGACAAAGCTACTGATGTATGCATCAAGATGGAAGTAGTTAGACTAGAATGCTTTGTAATTATTATGATTAGGAAAGAAAAAAACATGTAAAATTCGTTCTTTTGGCCATTACGCGTTGTTCGTAAATATTGCTGACAATCGGTTTGACTATGTGTAATCTTGTTTTTAGTGAAATATGAAATGCTTGATCACTCTTATTTAGTGTTGAGTTGATTTATATTGCTGGATTGAAGCATGCAATAATGTCCATAAGTAGACAATAACAAGTCTTAAATGTCTCGGGCAAAGACATTAAATTCCTACAATTAATATAAGTACAAACTTAATACAAAATTATGAACCAACTATGAAACTTGATAGATTTAACTGTTCAAATGAGATTTGGATATATTTTTCACGGTGGTACAATACAAATCACATGAATATCTTACACCATGTACACCGCTGTCGCTATAAAAAAACATACTCTCAAACTGAAGATGAATGCTTCTTTTTAGGTGTACAAGGGTTACGTGTGAGGCATATAAAGGAATTGCACGTTATGAACTACACATAATTAAGAAGGTCTCAATCAAAGCGATAACCGGCCAATAGAGTGCACCACAATATAAGTAGTAATCTACTCCTGTGTGATCTAAAACTTTGAGATGTAATCAAAACATGATAATCTATGATTTTGATCCACTACTGCAACACCATGAACATGTAAGAGTCTCCAATTGAAACTCCCAACATGAGCATTTTTTTGTCTTTGAGATTGACAATAAAACTTTTGTAGATGTTTTGTTGGTACCTCAATATCAATTTAGTAACAAAGTTACCCTAAAACAGAAGACACGACATACGTCAAAAACAATTACAAAGTAAATGTAGTAAATGTAGAGTCTAAAAAATAGAAGAACAAAAAATATCATTCTAAACATATAATTTTGTAGATAAATTTGCATATCGGTGTTTGATTACATCTGTAATTATATATGTGGTATGAACAAAATCAAGTTTAGAGTAACAACAGACAGTAATGAGACGTCATGTACGAACAAAATCAAATTTGGAATAATAACAAGCAATAAAGAGACGTTATGCAGCCAATAAATAGACAATAAGTCTTGAAAATATTATAATACCAGAGCAGGTATCATAAAACACTATATATATATACAGAGTTCACTACTTTGAATGATGAATTTATCTTCTTATTTGGACAACTCAATAACAATTATTATCAAGGCAAACAATATGCAGAACTTTTCTCCAAAAGTACATCAAGTGAAATGCCAAAACCATGACAATTAACATAAGTTCCCATTCCAACAAACCGTAGCGGTTAAGAACAGCGAGAGAAGAAAGTATAGGTCTTATAAATGTTATTCTAGGAAACACAAATTTGAATAAATAATATATTATCAAACTAAGAACTCCGTATTGGGATAGGATTCTTGCAAGTACAAAGGACTCCATACGGCGATACCAAAGTGTCAACAACTTTAAGGCTCGGAAAACTTCCAGTAAGACATCCCACAAGGCAGTATCTCCAGATTGAACAAACAACATTTTGTCTTCTTCTTTCATGAGTAAAACGTCACTGGAGGGGGGTGAGAAATACTCTAGATGCATACCCTGAGTAGCATCCCTATTATTCTGAAACAGACTAGTCTAGTTTTTTTGCAGGCTGCATTGGTTTCTGGTTCACGACTTTTGTCGAACACTTTGTCTGCATCAGTTGAAGTGTTCAACCATCCAATTCAGCAAGTTCTTAAACTGCAATCAAATATAATTGTTCAAATAAATCCATAAAAAATTTACGTATAGAAGTGAATTTGACCAACATATATAGCCAAGTGTAGATTCCTGAGTTGTTCAGCCAAATTAAACAAATAAGAAAAAAAGAAAAACATGAAGGTTGGGCATGAACCTGTTGGGTAGGCCACGAGAGCTAGAAGTAACTAGTAGATCTCAGGAAGAATTAGAGAAGTGAGCACAGATGATTATTAAAAAGAAGAAGACCTTGAGCTTGGGTGAATACAAATACGAAGAACAAAAAATGAAGAAGAATAAAAAGGTCGGAAGAGATCGATCGTTGCCTGGGCAATTTATCAGTCTTTAAATAGAGGGTAAAAGGGGAAACTAAAAATTATGTTTCTCAAAATAGTACTAAATCAAGCTTACGGATAGAAGAAACTTAACTAAATCCTATTATGGTAAACTTTGTATGATTTAGTCTTACTAACAGCAATTTTCTCATGAAAGAAATCGTGGTGTTTGGTAAAATTCGATTCGTTTAAATCGAACTCACTCATAACAACTACTTCCTTACCACATTCATATCTACCCACTTTCCCTTTTTAGCCGTAAAATCCATATCTTCTCATTTCTAATTCTTCTTATCATACTATCAATAATTATGAAAATAATACACTGTTACAAGTTTACAACTACTTTTTTTTAATTTATCTTTCATTCCAGCATACTATTGCATTATCTTCTCATCATATTCTCAATAATTTATATTCTCTTTCACCATTCATGATATCACCTACTTT